CCGAGGATGCGAGGAGATAAAATGCATATTTCTTGGTATAGGAAGGGGGTCTAGACCCAGGGTTTAAGTTAATAGACACATCAGGGGACTTGCAAGGGTATTTAGGGCTTGGTGTCCTTTAAGAAGTTTGTTTCAAGGAACTTGAAAGTTCTGCCTTTCTCCTCTGTTTCTGCAGAGGGTCCTGGCATAGTTGACCATCTGCTCTTTGATTTGGACTAAATTCAGCAGAGGAGTTTGGCTCTGGGAGGGAGTAGATTTGAAGAGTTTTGATTCTGGGTTTGTTTTCTTTTTGGGGGGCATTTGGGTTTTTTTGGTATTGACAAAAAATCATTTTGCTTTCACTTCACTCTTTGTTCTTTTCCTTTGTGAGCTGAGATCACTCAGGTGTGGGGTCTGAGGTGGATTTAGCCCTGAGGCTTTAAACTTTGTGGGTGGTAGTGGGAGAGCAGAACTGACATCTTTGTGTATGCAAGTGAAAATTGGACAGACAGATACTAGAGAGTGAGACTGACCCATGTAGTAACCTTCACAGCAGGGAAAACACATATTTTAAAGACACAAGATACTTTTTGTTTTTTAAATCAGCCTGATGTCACTTGGTGTCTGAACTGACTGCTTCTGCTGGTTGGAACCTCTGTCTTGTTTTTCTGTGGGGCAGTCTTGTAACAGCTTTCCAAAAGCTGGGGAAGAGCCTTGACTGCTGTGGATCAGGGTTTCACATCCTGCAAGGTGCTAGTCTTGCACGTACCAGGCCTGTCCCTTAGCTCATGGAGCCCCCAGGGATGGAGAACTTTGGCCTATGGGCAGAAGTGATAGGAATTTCAGTGGTGGTATTGTTTCTCTCCTGTGCAAACCAATGTATTTCTACACACTGGTGTTAAGATGTGTCCTCACAGCTTCAGAGGGGGGAAAAAAAGTCCCCCACAACCTTTAGAATGATGCTGATATATGGGTGTTCTGCCCTGCTTCATCTCTCCTCCCTTGCACAGTAGAACTGTTTGGGCTTTTGCAGTAAACCACTGTAAAAAAATAACATTTTCTTCACAAAGTGAGTTTTAAGTTGGATTGGTTCTCTCTTATGTTTTAGTGTATAGTCTGTGGAGTAGGGGTATATTCTAGAGGTGAGAGAAGAGAAAGGGATGGGAACTGCTATGGAAAAAGCAACATGATACTGTGCCTGTTGGGGCTGCACTTTTCTGTTTGGGTAGAAGCAGTGGGAGTTTGCATCCCATGTGAATTCTGACAGTGAAACAAAACTTAGGGGGTGCTGCTTGTAGTAGATGGTCTTTCTCTTGGGGATGGAGGAAGTGTCTGTGATTCCTGACAGACTTGGGACAAATGGGAAAGCTGGCAGTGGGAAAGTGATTGGAGTGTTTGCTCCCACAACAGCTGTGATTGGAACTAATGGCAGTGGCAGAGACTTGACAAATATCTGGTGGGTAGCCTAGATGAAAGTGCAGGATTATCTGAAATGTCAGGTCATCTTGTCTGCCAGTGTACAGCTTCTCTAAACATGGGTTGCACTGGTTTAACTGCAGTTGCTTAAACAAGCAAACCCCATTGATCCTAAATCGATCTGTTCCCCTAAAAAAAGATTAACACTTGCCCATCTTACATGGCTATTTTTATATGAAATATATAACAGATTAAATTAAATTATCTTTTTAGCTTTGTCAGTGAAGTGCAGAGTGTTATTATTCACCCTGGTATTCTTTGTCCTGAAGCAGGGGTAAGGGGAAAGAATTTCCCAGTGATGGTGAGCCTTGCAGCTGTGCTTGGAATGGTGCAGGAAAGGGATGTAACAGCCACTCTACTCTAAGACCCATCTTCTGCTTTTGTGACTGTTGCTCTGAAGCAATCATTTCAATGTGCTTCCAAAATCTGAGCAAGCTCTTAAGTTTTTCCTTGGTACATCATGAAGGAAGAATGCTTATGCTATGTGTATTTATGATTGGGTTGACACTGGACTTGGAAGAATGCCTGACATGTCTGCCTTGTGTGTGAGGGACAATACATGTGGGGGCTGTGGGCTTGAGAAGGGGTGTTAGGGAGGAAGTGGTGCTAGAAAGTGAAGGAGCTGGGTGGCCAGCATCTCTGATGTTAGGGAGGGAATCTCAGCCTCTGTGGATGTTTAAGGAACATGCCTACCCTCCAGCCTTCTATGTGTGTTGGCCTTCAGGTGCTTCTGTCCTTTGCAGAGAAGCATGAGTTTTGACCTAAGCGTTCTGTGTGCTTTGCACTGGCCTCTACATCTGTCAAGGAATGAGGCCTGAGGGTGAATAGGTGTGGGCTTGAGTGGAGAGACAGCAGGAGATAACATTTTGGGAATACTGGAGGTGCTGCTTCACACCTATTCGCAAGTGCAGCAGAACTTGGCTGGTTGTTCTACCAAGGGGCTGGAGGGAGGCAGAGAGAAAGAAGCGGGGCTGTGGGAACTGGACAGAAGAAGTCCTGAGGGTGGCACAAAGGCTGTCGTTCTGGGTATGAGGCCCAGGGAGGGTATGTGTGACTGGAAGGAGGCAGCTCCTAACCCAAGGCATTTCTTTGCAAGGGAACATCCTGGGTGCATGTGGGGAGTGTGATGGGAGACGAGGAACACATTTCACCAACCCCATGGGTGCCATGAGGTTCTGCAGTTCCTGTGCTGGTTGTCATTTCCCAGGGCTGGCTGCAGGTCACAGCCAGGAAGGCTGTGGTGCTCCCTCTGCAATACCTCAAAGTGTACCTTGGGGTTTTAACCGTGGGAGGTGAAGCTTCACCTGTCTTACTGCGGGTGGGTGAGCTGCGTTAGTGGTGCTCTGCTCCTGACCGGGACAGCCCGGCTGGGACGTGTGCCTGACTGTCAGAGAGGAGAGGAGGTTCACCCTGTGAAACTAGGAGAAAACTTTTTCCTTTTCCTGAGTTAGGTGGGTTTCCCAGTTCATCCCCCATCAGGGGTAAAGCCTGACTGACAAAAGGGGAAGTTTAAGGTTGCCTCTATTTACATTCCTGACTGAGACTTGAAATAAGAGAGAAAGTAAAATTTAATGCCCAGTGTTTCAGGACTTGTAACTTTAATTTCAGACATCCTTTGTGTTGTGTGTACAGACCTGATGTCCACCTCCCATCTCTTACCACCAGAGGCTCTTGTCTCATTCCTTTTTTTGCCTAGTGTAGAAAATAACGAACATGCACAGCCTGTGAAATATCTTGTATGTGCAGTTGCTAACCTTATTTAAAAAAAAAACAAACCTGTGTGAAAGATAATCATGGTGTTTGACATGAAAAAACCTGTTAGTTCAATGTAAATATGTTACTGGCAGCTGGTTGTTTTTAGTACATGCTATTTCTACTTTAAATTTAATGTTAAAATATTATTGTCGTCTAAACCGTGACTGTTCTTAGTTGAGCAGATTTCAGGTTAAAAACAGTAGTCAAACCATGACTGTTCGTAGCACTGTAATGTAATTTTGTGTTACTAGGTCTTTTCTAACCTGTTTTAATGCATTATGAAGTGGTGGTTATATGCCTAATTGCACAGCACAGAGAAAATTGTGTTGAAATATTGCATAAAACTTGAGCGTTATGTGATGTTTTGTAGTGCAAGTATTACTGCAGGCACTCATTCATAACAAGACCTGCAAGTTTCTCCCTGCCAGGGCGGGTGGTTGAGCTGGCTGTGCTGACTCAACAGAGCGAGTTTCTTTCTCTTCTCATCCTCTTCTTCCTCCTCCTCCTTCTCTTTTTGACTTCTTGTGACCAAACATCAGCAGATTCCCAAGAGCTCATTCGTGAAACATACCTTAGTTTGAGGTTGCTTTTTGAAACTATGTGCAGCTGTGGATCTTCACTTGAGGCTTTCAGAGCTCTCGTGTCAGCCAGGTGTTAAGCTGGTTAAAATCTGACTTGCTTTCCGAGCTTGGGTGTGTGTACACAGTTGTGGGTGTGAGTGCCCACAGGTTCCTCTGGAGTAGTTGAGAAGAGGACCTGATCCTGACTGCGGGGGACTGAGTGTCGCCTTGGTGGGCATTCCTGACTATGGGGGATGGAGGTGTAGGAGGGCTGCTGGGGCAGGGCAGGAGGTGCTCAGAAGTGAAATCTGAGAGGTTTGTGTATGTGTGTACCCTGAAGTGTTCATGCAGTTTTGGTCATTGCAGTATAAGAAAGATATAAAGTTATTAGAGAGTATCCAAAGGAGGGCAGTGAAGATAGTGAAGGGCCTTGAGGGGAAGCTGTATGAGGGGAGGGGCTGAGGTCACTTGGCCTGTTCAGCGTGGAGAAGAGGAGGCTGAGGGGAGACTTCATCGCAGTTACAACTTCCTTGTGAAGGGGAGAGGAGGGGCAGGCACTGATCTCTGTGGTAACCAGTGACAGCACCTGAGGGAATGGCCTGAAGTTGTGTCAGGGGAGGTTTAGGTTGGATCTGAGAAAAAGGTTCTTTACCCAGAGGGTGATTGGGCACTGGAACAGGCTCCTCAGGGAAGTGGCCACAGCACCAAGCCTGGCAGAGTTCAAGAAGTGTTTGGACAATACTCTTGAGTGCATAGTATGACTCGTGAGGGTGGTCCCGTGCAAGGTCTCAATGATCCTTGTGGGTCCCTTCCGACTTGGCATATTCTGTGATTCTGTAGCTGCACAGTGTAGCCTCATGATGTCCAGGGCTTGGAGCCTGCTGCCTGAGCCTAGCTCCTCCCTTTTTCATTTAACGATGGCTGGAAGAAAAATAATCAAGTATGCTGGAAGAGAAACATTAATTAACTTTTAATTTAGATCTAACGTATGCTGCTTAGTGCACTGCAGGAAAGAGTGAGTGTGCGGTATCTGTCATGTTATATAGAGGATGATGCATTGAAGAAACAAGGAAAAGCCTCAGGTCTGAATGGGAAGATGAGGTTTTAACTCTGTGGATGGATTTTGTATCTTGATTAAAAGCTGCAGATGTGTGATAAGTCGCTTTTGTATCCATTTTGCATCTGAAATTACTTTCTCTGTAACTTGGTTTGTATCTGTTTTCTCTTAAGCCAAACTTGCAAGGAGAAGTCAGGAGAGAGAGAATCTCGGCATGCTGGTCTGGTCACCTAACCAGAATCTGTCTGAAGCAAAATGTAAGTCTCTTCAAATTCAAATAATTTTATTCCCCTTTTTCCTTGCATGTGTCACTTCAAGAATGCAAAGTTGCCACTTTTGGTAGAGAGGTTATGTCTGTGACCTTTCCATTATGATTAGAAATTAATTTAAAAAAAGAAAAGCCAACAAAGAAATCCCCCAGATCATCTTTCTTCCCCACTGGGCAGCTGCTCAGAGCATCAAATCCACAGGGGCAGGGAAATCAAGAGAAATGTGACATGCCTTCTTCCCTGGTATAAATTCTTTAAGGTACTTATCCGTGGGCCTACACAATCTGCTTTTTTTGCTATTGGTGCTGCAGAAGGCAACAGAAATAGCTGGGGAGAAAAATATTGGGAGGGGGGCATGAAACATTTGGTAATTAGTAGTACCTTTTTCTCCACAAAGACACAAATAAAATCCACATCTGGAGCCCATGGAGGTTTTAAATGCCAGAACAATTGCAGTGCCTTGGAATTCCACGTGAGGGCAATTAACTGTACTCTGTGTGTGTCTGGGAACAAGTCTCAGTGCTGCTGCCAGATGGCAGAACTAGTGTTTGAAAGGTTTGTCTAGCTACAGTTCTCCTCATGAATAAGTAGGACTCCTTGATTAAAGGGCTGCTGTTTGAATGCAGTAACTAAATCTAAGTGCTTTTGGGGGAGGGAGCTGAAAAGAGCTATTTTTGACTTTATGCTCGTACCTTTTTTTTTCTTTTATCTTTTCTGATTCTGGAACCAAGATTGAGAATCTTGCATTCCTGTTCCTCTGCAGTTTTTGTGGTGGCAATATTAACTTGATACCTGTTCTTCCCCTAGACCCAAGGGCTAGGATGCATCACAAGGCACTTGTGAGGCTGTAGTGGCATTTGCAAATTAAGGCAGCAGAGATTGTGCACAAACTGGCTTTGCCACGAAAGGCCTGTGCTCTGCCCTGGGGCATTTGTTCCACTGAGCAAGTTGCCCCTTAAATTACATAAGGATGATGGTACTGTGATCTACAGATAAAAAGGGCTTTGCAAGGATCATGTCTGCCTTCTCTCCTACCAGTAGTGTCTTGTCTGCTCCCTGCTGGCTGTTGCATGCTGAACTAAGTAAGACTGATGAGGAGAGGAGTATGTTTGACAGTTATCTACAGCTAGAAACCTCTTAAAAGGTATAAGAGCAAGAAATTGTTTCTGCCACTGAAAGGAATGACGTTCATGGGCTGTCTGTGACACAGAGAATTCCTGTAGATGCCTCTCAAATCTGAGTGTCTTTTGAATCTCAGCTCAGCTTTGTGGAACGTTTAACTCCTGCCTGATAGGAAACAGGTTTCTTGAAGAAGGAAGAGGAAAGGGAGGGAAGATATGTGGAATTGAGTAAAATTATCTGTAACTTTGTAGCAATTGGCAAAAATATGCTCATATCATAGAGCATAGAAAGGATATAATATCTACTAAGATGTCATGAACCTAGGAGGTAATTTAAAAAGTCATATGAATAAAAACTAGGTGGCAGTTGATGTTGGTACAACAAAAAAGTTGGGGAAAACAATATGAATATAAGAAGGCAAGAAGAAATTTTTCAAAATACTCAAAATTTCAGTAAGAGTGTAGGGTCTCGGTTATTTCACCTTCCAAAACAAATACAGAAAAAAAAGAATAAATATTTCATGGGGAATTTGAGGAAGTAAAATGTGAGGGTGTTGCACCATACATGACACACAAAATACCTCCCAAGGTGCCTGATTGATACAGAGTGGATGGAGTTGTGAAATTAAGCATCTAGTAGTAGTAAAAAACCCAAGGAAATATTGGGAGAGGTGGCTGAGAGGACCTTGGGGTGGTAGGAAGTCGCCAGCAGATGGGGAAAGGGCAACTGTACAGGGAATGAGAGAACAGGGAGCTGGTTGGTCATTGCTTTGTCTTGAGTCAATTTGAGCTGATCCTGCTGAAAGGTATCAGTTATTCCTGTCTCTATCTGACATTACTTAAAAATGAACTATGAAAACCAAATTCTGCTGAAGGTAGACGCTTTTGGGTTTTTGAGACTAGAAATGGATTGATTGGTAGAAATAAGTTTATTGCTCTAATGTATTCAAGCCAGCTGTTAGGCACTGATTGCATGAGAGCCTGATTCAGTCCCCCTTCCTTTCTGAAGATGAGAACCTCCTCCAAAACACCAGTGCTCTGCAATGGCTGTAGAGCACTTACTAAATATATTACATGCAGAGTTCCCTAATCTACTTTATGGTTCATGATGAAAGAACATCAGGGGACAGGAGGTCTCTTCAGTGACTCTTGAATTCACTGACAAGTCTTGGCATCGTTGATAGTGAATCCTAATTAAATGGGGTCCGTGGGGATGTGTGAGAGGACTGGTGATGATCAACATTTCATCAGTGATGTGGGAATGGATATGAAATTGTTGATGACCTGTGGACTGACAGAGTGGTAAATAAAATTAATGCTACTGACAGTCTTGTGGAGCACTTTGGGTCTTTTCCTAACTTGGGTTGCTGCCAATGCAATGGGCTCTTAATGACCCAACTGCAGGGTTATGAATCTCAGTCCTGAAGGCTCTGGCCTTCTACATCAAGTCTGATGTTTGGAAAGAAATGGCTTAGAGAGCAATATTGGGGAAACAGTGGGCAGGTAATTCAGCAAAGTTTCACAGTGTCCTGCTTGACCCAGGGGATGATGTGGATGTAAAGAGTGAGGTAGTCACTGGTACAGTTTGCTGCGTCTGTACCCAGCAGCATTCAGGAAAATGAACCTCGAAATAATGGCTTTAGTTTAAAAATTGAGAAAAGGATGGAGACAGGAGCTACTGAAACATTTTGGAAACTGAAGATGAAGCAAAATCCATCTGTCTAGCTTACTGAAAAGAGGCTGAAATTCTCAATTATTCACTTAGAGGAAAAATTTGACATAGTAAGAGACATGCATATAGATGGCTGTGAAATAAGTCCACATGAACTGAAATGAAATGCCTGAGTTTGGGTTTTTAGGTGGGTTTTTTTGTTTGTTTTGTGATTGACTACTGGAAGTTATTCAGGGAAATGATGTATTCTGTATTTCTCGATGCCTTTTTAAACCATGTTTTTTTGTGACATGGTGTGGTAGATCATTCACTGGCAGTGTGAAATTGCGAGTGGAAGGAGATGTGGTCTCCAAGAGGTTGGTGTAGCCCCTAAGTACTGTTAGTCCTATCTAGCACATCCATTCTTAATACTGCTGTTCAGGTTGAAGTGTGGGTGAGCAAATCCTTCCAATCAGCAGCCTGTTGGTACCTGTGATTACTTTGGTTTGTGCTTCAAAGTCTTTAATCCATCCTGTGCCTGTAAGACACAGGACTTATCTCTATTCCTGTGGCTCGCTGTGAAGATGGAAGTTAGTGCAGCACATGTTAGCTCTTCCTTAGAGTGAACTGGTAGCTCTTGTGAGCAGGAGAGTTCAGTGCAATCAGTGCAGCTTGTGGAAGGTGCTAAAAACCACTGAGCAGATTCTGTGACCATACTCAGAGCAGTGCACCTGATGGGTTTGGCAGAGGGCTGGCCAAACTGATGGAGGCTGTGGGAGGGTCTCTGTAAGCTGCTGAAAGGAACCTTAGAAAGACCAGTGTGTCAGCCAAGACCTGATGGATGTCTGCATACCTGATGCTCCAGACTCACACAGTTAAGAGCTCATTTGGGTCCCATGAAGCAGTGTTTTAATCACACTGGAGAAACCTTTTACTTGGATGCCATGAAATGATGGATGTAAAAGAGAAGATGAAAACAAAAGTATGTATTGGCACATTGCTCATTTATTTTATCCTGTTCCTTGTTAACCATTAATCGTGGACACAAACCACTTATTGCCTTGCCCATATTAATACCAAAGTTGAATGCTGCCAGCACGGTCCATATCTACTGACAGACTTTTGCCTTTGAGAGGTCACTTGCACAGCAGTGTCACCATTAGTGAGTAGGTCACAGAGTTAGCCCAAAGCTAGAATTTTGTCCTGTGTCTTTTGAAGAAGAAAGAAAGAAATGTCATTGTGCAGTAACTGAACATTTGGACTTAAAATAACTGTGCTCCCCTTCCAACTCTGCTCCAAATATCCTGTGGCTGGTGTCACACCTCTTACAGAGAACTTGCTCTCAAAGTGAGGCTCCTGAGAGGCTGTCTGTGGAATTGGTGCCATGGAGGACAACTGATCAGGCTGTTGTGGGACTCTGTCACAGAGGGTGAGGAAGGAGACAGGGAGAGGGGAGGAAGAATGATGCCTTGAGCAAGGTGACATTGAGGAGGAGGAACAGCTAAGTGGAAGACAGGCATCTGCTCTCTTTGAGTGGCATGTGGGGAAAGAGGAGGGAAATAGTAAAAAATGCATTGTAATGATGCTGTGGAAACTCTGCACAGGATAGAGCTGGGCCAGCAGGAAGCTATTAATAAAACAGCAGTGTCTCTCTCTGTGCCAAGTGCACTAGTGAGTGGAACCATAAAGATGACTTTGGGTTGGTTTAGAAATGAGCAACTGCTGGCATGGTGCAGCTGCCCAGGAGCAAGGGATAGATACCAGGTGAGAGGGTAGGATGTGATGATTGCTTTTATAGACCTGCAGTTCAAAGGTGAACTACAAGAGGGAAAGATGTATTGCTTTACCAGCAATAAGCTGTGCTTTGAGAGTAATTTTTCTGCTTTCTTCCTGGCAGAATACATGTGCTGCTAGATGGGAGTTCTGTTTTCTCACTTGATGTCTTGGTGGATGTCTCCAATGGATTTGCAGTTTATGGGTGTCACTGAACAGGCAGGCACTGTCCCTAATGCCCATGGGGCAGTGGGGTTGTAGAGGGCAGCTGGGTCTTCTGGTCTTGCAGTGCTGCTTCTGCTTGACCTGACAGTTGATTGGCACTGCCAGCTTTGGACATTCACCAGTCCCTGTCTCCATTACTCTGTGGCACCTCTTCTATTGAGGCTGCAGCTGGCTCCCTGCTTTACATTACACCTGCCTTGGTGCACATGGAGAGAATT